ACATAAACAAGCATAATTAAATATTAATAAAAATATAATAATAATAATCACACTAAAAGCCGGAGTCGATCATATGTGTCGAGAAATAACAACGCACTCTCGTCGGCATCATTCTCCCCCGGTTGGAGAGGATTCGCCCTCGAATCCGAACCACTCTCGTCGGTAGAATTGTCTCCATGAAAAGGCACCAAGTGCTTGACATTAAAGACATCCGAAGTACGCACATGAGACGGTAAACGAAGTCGGTAAGCGTTGGGGTTAATCTTCTCAATGATCTCAAGAGGACCAATCTTTCGAGCTGACAACTTGTTGTACTCCTGTGCCGGAAAGCGGTCCTTCGTTAGGACAGCCCATACGAAATCACCCACATCAAACTCCACGTGGCGACGTCGAATATCGGCCCTCTGCTTGTAAGCAGCAGTAGTGGACTCCAAATTAGCACGAACCTCATCATGCGTACGTCTCAAATCAGCCATCACATCCGTCGCCCGACGATCATCAAGACCAGAAGAAGGAAGAGAAATCAAATCAGCCGGTCCTCGGGGAACAAAACCATATACTACCTGAAACGGACAATACCGAGTAGCTCGACTAATAGCAGAATTATGTGCAAACTCAGCCTGACTAAGGCGCAAATCCCAAGAACATAAATTATCACCAACCAAACAACGGAGCAAATTACCCAAAGAACGATTGACAACCTCAGTTTGACCATCTGTCTGTGGATGGTAGGCACTACTAAAATTAAGTCGGGTATTGGCCTGTCGCCATAAACTACGCCAAAAGTAACTAAGAAAGCGTGTATCCCGATCAGACACAATGGAGGTAGGGAGCCCATGCAAACGATATATCTCTCGAAAAAACAGTTGTGCCACACGCACAGCATCAGTCGTACGTTTGCAAGGAATAAAATGGGCCATCTTAGAAAATCGATCCACAACAACAAAAATAGAATCATTACCTCGCTGAGTCCGGGGTAAGCCAAGAACAAAATCCATGCTAATAGAAGTCCAAGGCTGAGAAGAAATCGGTAGCGGGCGATATAAACCAGCATTGGTAGCAACACCCTTCGACACCTGACAGACACGACATCGCTCGACAAAACGAGAAACATCCCGTCGTATAGTAGGCCAAAAGAATCGGCGCTGTACAAGCTCAACAGAACGATCCCGCCCCACATGGCCGGCTCCATGAAGGTCCTCAATCAACTTCAGCCGAAGGCTACAATCCGGAACACAAAGTCGAAGGCCCTTGAAAAGGAAACCCTCGCGAAGCACAAAATCATCAACCGAACCCGAAACCAAACGAAGTAGGATCGGGCCAAAGAAAACATCAGAAGGATATAAGTCGCGTAGTAAATCAAAACCAATGACCTCTATACGCATATCCGACAAAAGAAGAGAACGGCGACTCAAAGCATCTGCAACTCGATTAGACACACCAGACCGATGTTTAAGAACAAAGGTAAACTGCTGTAAAAAGGATGTCCAAGAGGCATGTCGGGCTGAAACATTGTCCTGAGAAGAAATATGACGAAGCGCCTCATGATCTGTAAAAAGCACGAACTCTCGGTGGAATAGATAATGTCGCCAATGTCGAACAGCACGCACCACAGCATAAAATTCCACATCATAAGTGCTGTATTGAGCTCGGGGACCTGACAACTTCTCACTAAAGAAAGCGACAGGTCTCGCCTCCTGGCTAAGAACAGCCCCAATCCCCACCTTGGATGCATCACACGAAAGCTCAAATGGCTGAGAAAAGTCAGGAAGTACCAAGACTGGAGCCGAAGTGAGCTTCAATTTAATGAGATCAAACGCTTCAGCAGCCTGAGGAGTCCAGACAAAAGATTTGCCAGTAAGACAATCGGTAATCGGATCAGTAATAGAGCTGAAATGAGCAATAAAACGTCGGTAAAAGGAAGCCAAACCGTGAAAACTTCGAGCCTCAGTGAATGTCGTAGGAGTAGGCCACTCCCGAATAGCAACAACCTTACTCTCATCAACACGAACACCATCCGAAGAAATAACAAATCCCAAAAACAACACTGAATCCACAAGAAAAGAGCACTTGCCCGGTGAAGCATAGAAAGACTCAGCTCGCAAAAGAAGAAGTACCTCACGAACATGATGTAAATGCTCCTCAACTGAACGACTGTAGACGAGTATATCGTCGAAATAAACGACAACACACTTCCCGATAAGGTCACGGAGAGTCTGATTCATCACCCGCATAAAAGTACTCGGAGCATTAGACAAACCAAAGGGCATAACCAACCACTCGTACAAACCCTCTCGAATCTTAAAAGCTGTCTTCCATTCATCACCTGGCCGAATTCGAATCTGATGGTAACCACTCCGAAGATCTAACTTCGAAAACACAGTCGCACCGTGTAACTGATCCAACAAGTCATCCAAGCGTGGAATAGGAAAACGGTAACGTACCGTAATCTTGTTTATCGCCCGACTGTCAACACACATCCTCCACGACTTGTCTTTCTTTGGAATTAGGAGAGCCGGCACGGCACAAGGACTGAGACTCCTACGAATCGACCCCTTCCTTAACAAATCCTCAACCTGACGACGAAGCTCCTCGTGCTCAGCTGGACTCATCCGATAATGAGGGCGATTGGGCAAAGAAGCGCCCGGCACCAAATCAATATGGTGTTGAATATCACGTAAAGGCGGTAAACCACTAGGTAACTCGGTGGGAAAAACATCAGCAAACTCCTGAAGCAACGGCTGAATCAAAGCAGGAGGTGAAACATCTGGAACTGCAGCAGAACCAACAACAAGAAGAACCATAGGAGCATCGATAATCTCACGAATAAAGGCAGACCGAGAAAGTAACAATACAGAAGACGAGGAGGATGGCGGCTCCATGACTGGTGGGGCAACTAGCGAACGAGATAAAGACGGGTGAAGGACGATGCGAACACCATGAAAAAGAAAACCGTACGTATTGAGACGACCGTCATGAATAACAGCACGATCAAATTGCCACGGTCGGCCCAAAAGCAAGTGACAAGCATCCATCGGCACAATATCACACCATATCTCGTCCCTGTACGTCGGCCCAACCGAAAAGGCCACTAGTACTCGCCGATCCACCGTAACAGAAGTCCC